TTCTCTTTAATGTTTTCATCTTTATTGACAATTTCATATCATATATTTATTAAAAAATAAAAAATAAAAAAATTAATTTCTCACCTTAACCTTTTTTTGCTGGTGTATATCAGGGTATCAAATATCTTGCGGATTTTGGAGAAAGTTTGGAAGTTAAAAAAAAATAGTCTAAATTTTAAAAAGAAATTATTCTATCCTGAAAATTCTAACTATCCGGAAAATTGTGATTGTGTATATAAGTGCTCTCTCTCTCTCAAATTTGGTTTTCTAAAAAAGCTCATGTTCTTCAAAAATTCAAAAAATATATGTAAAAGACAAAAACACAATTTGTCATATATAATTTCTCTTGCTTTTTATTAGCTTAGATAATGATCAATTTTATAGTAATCTACCAAATATGATACCATCTCTCTCTCTACAATGTCGCAATACAAAATATGGTATATGCTACTTAGTGTGTACTCTATTTTTCTCTTCCCTTAAATATAGGAATGTGTCATGCAATCTTTATAAAATTAGGGCTTTTTCTTATTTCGTGACATGTGTTCACCCTTTAACTCCACTTAATTTAACTAATAGGAAAATTTGCCTTGTGAAGTAATGATACTGTTTACTCTTGTTCTCTCTCAAATCTGGTTTTCTAACGAAAATCACGTTCCTCAAAAATTGAGAAAAGATGTGGAAGAGACAAAACCACAATTTATGTCATATATAATATTAAAAAACTAGAAGACATCTCAAGTTCCTAAAAATCGTACCGAAAGCTCTTATAATTTGGGATTTTACTTGTTTTTTATTAGCTTAGATAATGATCAATTTTATAGATTATTACCAAATATGATACCATCTCTCTCTACAATGTTGAGATACAAAATATGGTACATACTACTCTAAGTATGTACTCTATTTTCCTTTCCCTTAAATATGGGAATGTGCCTTGCGATTTCTATAGAATTAAGCCCTTTCTTATTTTCGTGACATGTGTCCATCCCTTAACTCCACTTAATTTAACTAATAGAAAATTTACCTTGTGAAGTAATGATACTATTTATCCTCTCACAAAGTTAAAATAAATTTTAAGAGCAAGAAAATATGCCATTAAAAACCATTAAAAACATAAACTATAAAATAATTTAAATAATCATAAAAAGTAATAAAATAGGGATTGTCATAAAAAAAAGTTAAATGTATTTAATAAAAAATAAATAATAAAAGATGGTTACTTTTTTTATCACATCGTATCAATAGAATATTTTTTATATATCTAAAAACTCATAATAATAAATATGAAAATTGGTCATAATCTATTTTTCAGATATATAACTTTCTAAAAATTTGTCATAATCTATTTTTTAGGCATAGAGCTTCCACCAAAAATTTCAATTTCATATTCAATTTATTAACAAAACAAGATAATGAGTTATAGAGAAAAATTAAAAGCATGAGAAGTTAATGTAAAAAATAAGAACTTCTTTTAGATTCATTATCATCAAATTACATTATAATATGCATGATGTTAAAGTTATAAAAAATAAAAAAATATTAAATAGATGAACAAAAATTCTGATATACCTTAAAGGCGTTTGGAGATGATTTTAGCATCATTAAGCATAACGAATTCAGTTTCAACGCATGCATAATAATAAACAAATCAAAATATATGCGAATAGACAAATCAACGAAAAAAACTCTAAAAGATATCAAACACAAATAAACAAAAATAATAATAAACAATGCATACTCTCTCTCTCTCTCTAATATATATATATATATATATATATATATATAGTTATAGTGGTGGGAGTAGGTCTCTCATGCCTCTCTTAACCAATTTCTTTCACGTCTCTCAATTAGTATATATCATATAATTTCCACCATGTCTACTATGAGATATTTATTTAGATTTTAATTTATTATATCTCCCTATAATTTTGGCTTTACTTGGGGCTCTATTTAACCACGTCTCTCTCATTGAGTTTGGGATAGGTACCTATTTTAGGAAATTTGAACCAAAATATAGAGTTTGGGATAGGCACGTATTTTAGGAAGTTTGAACCAAAATATAGAGAAAAAAATCTCATATTTCTTAAATTAAGATATTGAATCAATGTCTCTCTCTCTCTCTTCCTAAAATCTCTACTTTTTCTCTTTCTTTCTAAAATATATACTTTTCATGCATAAAATATTAGAAAATGGTGGATATCATCTTTTCTCTACTCTTCATGCACAAATTTTAGGAAATGGTTGGATAAAACAAATTCTCCTATTTCTCAAGGATAAAAAAAATTATCATATTTTTCAATAATATATGGAAACAATACCTCTCTCTTCCTAAAATCTTTATTTTCTCTCTCTTCTTAAAATCTCTACTCTACACACAAAGTTTTAGCCTCTCCTTTCGTCTAAACATGGAGAGTATGTTCTACAACCTCTATAACATTAGGTCCCTTCTTATTTTCGCGACACATGTCCACCCCTTAAGTCTTGCTTGTACTATATTAATAATGTAGTATAGATATACACCAAGATTTATCACTAATTTTTCTTTTAAATTTTTTTTAGATGACTCGGTGCTTTGGGTCTTGTGGTAGCACCCCACACCTAATTACCATATTGTGGTTTCAATCCTACGCAGAAAAGCTAACTCCCTGATTTATATAAAAATCTGAACTATTGAATTATTGTAAAAATAAATAGAGAAATTATCGCTAATATACCTATATTTTAAGGAAATTGGAAAAAAAAAACCCCAACTTCCCAAAACCTCATCCGCACCTTTTTTTTTCCCATTTTCGTGAAATTTTGGACAAAACTACCCTTTACGATAGTTTTTGTACCGTAAAACTCATTACGGTATTTTTAATACTGTAGTGTTTAGTGGTCTCTATACAGTAATGGGAATACCGTATTAATAAATAAAAGTTTTATGGTAATAGGGTTACCGTATTGTTTGTACAATAAATTACGGTACTCGTAGTACCATAATTCATTCTCGCTTTTTTTTTTTTACCAATTTTTTCATAAAACCCTATTTTGACGAATTGTTTAACACTTTCATCCTTTTTTTAATCTCTCTCATCCATTGTTTATCTCTCTCATCTATTTTCTATCATATCATCTATTACTTATCAATCTTTGAAGGAGGTCTCTAAGAGCATCAAATTTACACACCAACTGATTTTTAGGTATGTCATCAAAATATTATGTTGTTTTTAGCATCTAAAAAATATATTATGTTGCATAAATAAGTTTTATATTTATTTATATTATTGTATAAATAAGTTTAAATTTATTTAATGGTTGGTCATCAAAATAATGTTTTTTTATAATACTTGATGCAGTTTGGTTGGCCATTGTAAATTTTGTTTTTTATTATGACAATTGTATTTCCAATTTAATGTCCCTCATGCAAACTCTTCAGTATTTGTAAGTATTTTGAACTTCTTATATGTATTTTATTTATGTTTCCATCTGAAATTTCTAGCCAGTGATTCAGCTTGTACATAACAATAATGGATGAGAATAGAGTGAAAATTGTTTTACACTATGGTGGTTTTTTTAATAGGAAACCTAATGATGGAAGTATTTTTTATGACGGTGGAGATGTAAAGGTTATATTTTCTAAGGGGAACCAATCATTTGAACAAGTCAAGGATCACTCGTCAAAAGTATCAAATTATTCCCCAAGTACCATGACTATTAGGCATTTTGACTCAGGGTTACCAAGTAATATGATACGTATTGATGATGATGACGATATTGGGCCTTCTCCCATTACTATGTACGTATCAAACAGACCTATTGAGTCTGACTGCACTGAATGACGATCGCCAACAATGCCCGATATTAGTCCATCTAATTACACTGAATATTGACCACCAATAATACTCGATAATGATCCATCAAGATTGGTCATGTAAGAAGTTTGCAATGGAAATCATTAATTTTATTATTTGTCAATTTTTTATTATGGTTAGGATAATTTTGACTTGTCTTGAATTTTATTTTTCTACAGCATATCCCAATCGGAGCAAGTAGGTCACAGTGAATGTGCTCCTGGCATAGGCGTACAAGATGAACATGAATCAGAAATCGAGCGACATATGGACGACATCGATCCAATAGAAAGCCCCCTGAGGATTAACCGTTACAAAGTTGTACTTCAAGATGGTCAAGATTTGATGATGTACAGACATGTTGTAATCATCTTATTGATTATGCCATATCACAAAACTTCAATATGAAGCTTATAAAAAGCGAGAAGAGATGTGTATGGGCAAGGTGTGCTGCAGATGGGTGTTCACGGTAAGTGCGCTGTTGGAGGATTAATACAACAAACTTATTCACCTTGAAGAAGTTTGTAAGCGTGCACTTATGTGCCGGCGGAATAGGTAGGGTTCATCAACCACTTGCTCGAAGCCACTGGGTGGCAAACAAGATCAAAGACCGATTGAGTAATATGCCCAATAGTACACCTAGAGATGTGATTAATGATATACAACGTGATCATGGTGTCATGTTATCTTTCCAACAAGCATGGTAGGGCAAAGAGGTTGCACAACATACATGTGAAGTCATACATGATCTCGCTAAATATCTACATAAGATTCGAGTCACGGACCTTGAAACCTTAAAGATTATTTAAATAGATAATCATGATAAATTTGAATGTGTGTTTATAGCCAATCGTCCATGTTTGTATGGTTTTATGTTTGGTTGTAGGCTGCTAATAGGACTAAATAAGACATTTCTGAAGGGAAGATACAAAGGGATATTATTGGCTGCAGTTGAGGTAGATGCGAATGAAAATATATATCTTATAGCATATGCAGTGGTTGAGAGTGAAAAATACACTAAGTTGGACTCGGTTTTTAGAGCTTCTGAACGAGCAATTTTGCAAGAGGCCTGATTTACCAGCACTGACTATTGTCTTAGATCGTTAGAAAGGGTTACAAGCCGTAATTGAAACAGTATTTCTTACCAATGAACAAGGTTATTATATGAAATACCTTGTCGATAACTTCAAAAAGGCGAATAGCAATTCGACGCTCACAAAGCTTTATTGGAAAGCTATATGTACATTGTATATATCAGACTTCGATGAGTATATGGCAAAGATTAAGAGTGCAAATACTAGAGCTTATGACTGGATGATGTTACAACATCCAAAATATTGGGCAAACACACATTTTAAGGGGTGTAGATACAATCATCTGACATCGAACATCTCTGAATCATTTAACCAGTGTATATTTCAGGCTCGGGAGAAGCCCCTTATTAAACTCCTTGAAATCTTAAGGGTTAAGCTCATGGGAGAATTTTCAAATAAGATGACCAGGTCCTTAGAATGGAGCGACGTTCTTATACCGAAGACCCAAAAGGTAATAGACCTGAGGAGGGATAAACCCAGATTCTTTCATGCAGACACATGGGCACATGATGGCATGTATGAGATCAATGCGGATAAGAAATATGCTCTTAATCTGGAGATTCATACATGCAGTTGTCGGGTGTGGCAGGTTGGTGAGTTATCGTGTAGTCATGCAATTGCCGTTATAGATCATAGGCATGAAGATGTTATAAATTTTTGCGGCATTTATTTCATAGTACAAATGTACCGTAGAACATATTCCCTTCCCTTCAACAAAATGCCTAATGTACTAGAGTTGCCAGAGATTGTCTATACAACGGTAATGTTGTCCGCCGTAAGGCGAACAGCGGGTCGGCCAAAGAAACATCGCAGGCAAACAAAGTACAAAGAGATTAAGCGTCTTAAGTGTAGTTAATGCGGGGTGGTGGGCCATAACTGGAAGACATGTAAATTAAGTATATAAATAAGCCATTAGCGCCACTTGATGTTTTTTTGATGTAAATAGGTCATTAGTGCCAATTGATATTTTTTTGATATGTCATTTTGTAAAGAGGTCAGTGCCTACTTATATATTATTGATATGAAGCTATCCAATTTCACATCAGATGGTCTCATTCTATCTATATAATTAATGGTCTCATTCTATCTAAACCTTTAAGCTATCCAATTTGAAGGTGCGGCTTACTTTTAATGTTTAGGGCCTTAGCCATAACCGCACCCTTACCTAATTGATCTTCAGTTATGGAAGTCTAACAAAAAGAAAAAGAAATGGTAAATGAACCACGTATATGTCAAATATCAAGCAAGTGATTCTGCCATTTCAAGATGATAAATGAACAACGTATAGGTCAAGAAATGGTAAATGAACCACACAGCTTTGTCACTTTGGGTCTTTTAACTGATAAGCATCAATCTGCAATACTAGCACCTGCTCTTTATTAATTAGGTTTTTTTCTTTTGGTGAGATCCAATATATGAATGAAAAAGGTCAAAATCACAATATAAAGTTTCAAAAAAAAGGAAAAAAAGTATCATTACGGTCTTCTTAATGTACATTAGAAGCATTACGGTACTAACAATACCGTAATGAGCATTACGGTATTGTTTGTATAGTAATGCTTTTAAGCTTCATTATGATCTTCAAAAGGCTGTAATGGTCAAAAGTCCACTGGATTTCCAGTGGACTTTTGACCATTACGGTCTTTTTAAGACCGTATTGTTTATTAAGATCATTACGGTAATTACAATACTGTAATGGTCACTACAGTATTGTTAGTACCATAATGATTTTAAACTTCATTATGGTCTTAAAAATACCGTGATGGTCTTTCCAGTAGACTTTTGACCATTACGGTCTTTTTAAGACCATAATGGTTATTAAGATCAATACGGTATTACCAATACCATAATGAGCATTATGGTATTGTTAGTACCGTAATGTTTTTAAGCTTCATTACGGTCTTAAAAAGACAACAATGGTTAAAAGTTCACTATATTGCCAGTGGACTTTTTGACCATTACGATCTTTTTAAGATTGTAATTGTTATTAAGATCATTACAGTGTTAACAATACCATAATGAGCAATATGGTATTGTTAGCACCGTAATGCTTTTAAGCTTCATTACGGTATTAAAAAGACCATAACGTATATTAAGATAATCACAATATTAATATAGTAATACTCTTCACATGCATTACGGTCTTAAAAAGACCGTCATAAGATTTTATTATTTTTTTAAACTTTATTGATATTTATTTTCCATCTCTAATTTATGAGTTGCATGTGATTTACCTAATATTTTCACATATGAGTTGCTCCAACTACAAACTTAGTGTATTTTCACTCTCAGCTGGTCAAAAAATATTTTCGTTTCTAAATTTATGAGTTGCTCCAACTACAAACAATAAGATGGCAAACCTTGATGACTTTAGAATGTCATGCATGTGATGTACCCAATATTCATATACAAAGCAATTCACATACAAACCAATTCACATACAAATGTATATTCTCAACCATGCATCCAACCATGTACATAAAACAGTATAGGCACTAATGGCCTCTTTACACAGTTTAAGCACTACTGGATTATTTACAACCATGCATCAGACAAGTACACATCATGAACACTTTCATCGTACTGGCAGCTTCTCAGCCCATTGTGATAATTGCAACTCTGTATTATAGCTGCTCTGCTGCTGTGAGCTGCTCTCCTCCCGTCTTGCAACACGATGACGCAACTGCCATCTGGGCTCCTCTGGTTGAATCGATATGGGGATGGGTTGTGTATTATTGGGCCCCTCATTTGGTCGAGAAGAATGCCATACTATCACGTTGTCATCCATCTCATCATCAAACTCTATTTCTCAAGATACTTCTTCCCCTGCAACTTCTGAGTTATACATTTTAAGCACCTCTAATCCGTCCCCAATTAGGTCCCCATTCCTTGAATTGTATCCCTCACGTACAAATTCAATTGCTTGGCTGATGTCCCTAGGCTGCATCAAGTCATATAAAATATATAATTAGATTGAAGAAGACTTCTAAATTGCATCAAGTCATATGAAATATGAAAAATAAATAATTACCATTCTATCTTCATCATTATAACCTCGAGGTGCGTATTTGAAGGGACGTTTTCTAAATGGATTATGGATCAGGGGCCTAGTCCTTAGCTTGTTCCACTCGATGTATTCTCCTGTCGGCTTCCCATTGAACATATCTTCATCTGCCTGGCAAATATAGTTAATGTGGTTCATCCACATGTCTATTTCATCTCTAAGCTCATCTCCTCAATTGTCAAACATCTTCCCCCTTTGCTCCCTCCTCTCCCACTGCAAGGGGTCTACCGGTAGCCCTTGGTGAAGTCCAAATTGCCGCAGCACAAGATCTGGCATATACCACTTGCAGATGTATCCACATATGAGGTATGTACGACACAAAGCAATCTGAAGAACACGAATCCCATAATCTCTGTCCTCTGCAATTTCATCTCTGATGTAGGATAATCATCATATGTGGTCCATATGACCTATGACAAAATTAGGACAAATTTTAATATAAATAACATGCACCTAAAATTAATTAAATTATAAATAAACAAAACAAAATATAACTATACTATACTAACATCATTTATCTGCGTGTTATCAAGCTCTTGTCGCCACGATACTAAAGTTGCGAGTGTTATCTCATTCTTTAAGAAGGCTCCACTTGAGGGATTTAGGTTGCCTTGCCCTTATTTCTTTTGGAATTGGGCACAACAATTTGAAATGCTCGTACACCCAACACTATATTACATGTATAAAAAAATTAGAATCACAACAACAAATATCTATCGAACCTTAAAAAAAGTATCAAAACATTAATATACTACCATTACCTGCAAAAGAGTGGCTGATCTACTTAGGTGTTGATGATGAACAACGTTAGACAAGGCTCGAAACAAAAACGCTAACGCAGTTGCACCCCATGTATAGTGACCAGCTACGTCGATATCCTCAAAAAATTGTAAATAGATGGTAGGAACGTACCATCTGTGGAATCCACAAATATTGTGCACCCGACTAGATATAAGAGGTAGGCACGGGTGTATCGTAGAAGAATGGTGCGGTTAGAATTCTATGGTAGCCGCTTAAACATATTCCTCACCCATGTCAGTCAGATAATGGAATGACTACGACCAGGTGGCAGTTGTCTTATTATACGGACTATATTATAATCGTAGTTCTCTACTCTCTTCACAGTTACAGCTACATCAGTCGCCTTTAAGAGACGAATTTTCCATGTATCTTTAAGTCTAGACATCATCTCTTCGATGTCTACATTGAAGTGCCCCGTGTTCGTCTCTACGCACCACCTTTCGATAATTGTAGATAATGTGCCGCAATCATGCTGACCCATCGATACTATTGTCAGATGATACAATCTTGATTTCCTGACCAGATTTGATCGTTGTTTGTTAACGGCCATAAAGAAGTTGCGTTGGGCTTCTCATCAATCCTGAGGGTATTTTCCCAATCCTGAAATAGAATTTGTCATTTCATATACTAAAATAAATATATTGATTAAGTAACATGATAGACAAAGAATATAATTTTAAATACTTGTACATACATCTCCTTCTTAAATCTTCTGTGATGTATGTTCTCTTTGTCTAGTGAGCAATGTAAGAATATCAGGACCTCCAGGAAAGGGTGCATCTTCTGTCGTGATCACTGTTCAAAAAGCTATCATACATAAAAAAGGCATCATAAATAAAAAAGCCATGAATTTGGTACCTATATTTAAAACCACTATAGCGACAACTTACACTCCATTCCAAATAAGAACTCATGCCATCAAAGAAAGCATGGCATAAAAGTTGAATGCATGACATGTGATGTTAATTCTAGTGAAAAAATGCCTAACTTGGTGTACATTTATACCAATTCTACTTAAAACATGCCGAACTTGGTGTATATTTATCACATTCATAAGAGGAAGACACATCATTCTTATGATAACTTGATATAATTACTCATTCTTAAAATAAACTTTGTATAACTACTCATTCTTATGATAAATTGATATCACTAGCAAAAGGACACAAATCATTCAAAGATGACCAGCAAGATGCATTAGTGGTTAATATCTACAACTTACATATTTCATATCCTCAGCAATATGGACAATGTTCATTGACAACATTATGACATCTTCTGACATATGCTAGGTTGCACAAAATGTAGGGAAGGATTACCAAATAAGATAATGAACTCATTTTTTATCCAAAATATAACATACCTTTACACAAGCTTCAACAATATTTACTTTCAAATCAAATATCAGAAGATTCCATAACACAAGCTTGAACAAGCTTGTGATTGACATATGCTAGTTTAGGTTACGCAAAATGCAGGGAAGGATTACCAAATAAGATAAGGAACTCATTTTTCATTCAAAATATAGCATATCATCACACAAGCTTGAACAATATTTAGTTTCAAATCAAATATCAGAAGATGCCATAACACAAGCTTGTGATTAACATATGCTAGTTTAGGTTGCACAAAATGCAGGGAAGGATTACCAAATAAGATAATGAATTCATTTTTCATCCAAAATACAACATACCTTCATACAAGCTTTAACAATATTTACTTCAAATCAAATATCAGAAGATGTCATAACACATGCTTGTGATTGACATATGCTAGTTTAGGTTGTACAAAATGCAGGGAAGGAAGGATTACCAAATAAGATAATGAAGTCATTTTTCATCCAAAATATAGCATACCGTCACACAAGCTTGAATAATATTTAGTTTCAAATCAAATATCAGAAGATGCCATAACACAAGCTTGTGATTGACATATGCTAGTTTAGGTTGCACAAAATGCGGGGAAGATTTACCAAATAAGATAATGAACTCATTTTTCTTCCAAAATATAACATACTGTCACACAAACTTGAACAACATTTAATTTCAAATCAAATATCAGAAGATGCATAACACAACTTTTATTTTAGTTTCAAATCAAAGAAATAAACAACTATATCAAAATAAGCCAAGAATAAAAAAAGATACAAAAATAAAAAAGATGCAACTTTTAGTTTGAACAACCTTGAAGATGCATCATACAACTTGAACAAACTTTAACAATATTAAACTTTTAGTTTCAAATCAACTATAAGAAGATGCATCACAAATTTTATTTAAGTTTCAAATCAAATATTAAACTTTTCTTGATCATAAAGTCATAAAAAAACCCAAATTTTGATCTCTAAAATAAATATACATCCTAATTTATAAATCCAACAATTATTTCTTACCTCAAATAGGTGATGAGGGAGCGAGATATTGAGCTTTAAATGAAGAATGAAGACCGTACAACCTTAACCACTATCCTTCCATGGCTGAATGATGAACGTACTTCTTCGAATAAATACGGTAGAGCCGTAAAATGGGGGAATGGGGGTTTCTGTTAGGGTTTATACGCCAAAGAATTACAGCAATGCGATTGCCGTAATGAAATTTTAAAAATACCGTAATGATTTGTTCTCTTATTACGGTAAGTACCGTGACCTTTTTTAAAACTATTGCGGTACTAAAAATACCATAATAATATGTTCAGTTGTTACTGTATTAACAATACTGTAATGATTATTGATTTACGGTACAAAGACTACCGTAAAGGATAGTCTTGTCCAAAATTTTACGAAAATAGAAAAAAGAGTGTGGGTGAAGTTTTGAGAAGTTGGAGTTTTTTTTTCATCTTTTTTAGAATATAATTATATTAATGATAATTTTTCAAATAAATAAATAAAGCTATTTTAGGATTTGGGATTTAAGACTGGAACCATTCCTCGAAGACTTTCTGTACACATAGCGCACATGTGAACTCGTTCGTGATACACTAGTGCCATCCGAGCCCTTTCAGACACGGCAAACGGTGTGCCACGTGATTTGAAAACACCCTTCCTTTAAGAACGGGTCTGCTTTCACTTGTCCCCTCATTATTTTAGTACACTCAGTTCCTCTTATGAAATTGCTCTTTCACTCACTAGGACTTTCTCATATAACCTTCCCTATGTTCCCTTATCCTAATCAATAGTTCCCTCCCCTATTTGCCCATTATGCCACCTGAAATTACTCCATTCCATTTTTATGGAGGATGGGGTTGCTATGGGTCAGCCGACTCATATGCATTTGTGCGGCCCCATTCTAAAATTCACCTTAAAAAAGGATTTTTTATTTAAAATTTTAGGGATTCATCATCTAAGCCAAGTTGATCATAAATCTGAAAAAAATCATATTTTAAATATAAATATTTTTTTTTCCATATTCATGATTATCTTATTCTAGATTATAAATCTTTAAAACTTTGGATTAAAAATCCATTGTTATGACGGTATAATGAGGGGCCCACATTACTGTACAATATGAGTCGACTGACTCATAAAAACACCATCCTTTAGATAAAGATTTTGGATCTAAAATTGGCAAGTCGATAAACTCGATAATCTTGACCATTCATTTTAATATGGAAAAAACTTTCGTGTGGGCTGGATCGCATTTCTACAATATGCGGTCCTAAGGTATAAAGCATCCATCTTTAAGATGGATACAAATAGATGACCCATCTAAAAATAATTGAAACTAACGGTCCAAATGTTTTTTTAATAGAATTACTATTTTAAAATTTTAAAATTTATTTATTTATTTATATTCATGAT